CAACATTATTGTACATTTATATGATGTAGAAAACCTAAAACAGGAATTTAGTCTTAAAATGTTCTGTCAGAGATTATTACACACCACAGCTACTCCTGTTCACTCAACTATTCTTCTGAATTGTTATAAAAGAACGATGGCTATCATTAAACTATATTAACCTTGTTACATCTGCTGACTCTTATTCTCAGGCTTGATGTTACTGGCATCTTGTTCCCTGTGTTAATCTCATTCTCAAAGGATGGTTTGTCATTATTGCAAACGTGAATTCCCTTTCAGTTCACCAGATTGGTTGCATAATTAAAACATTTTCTAAATGAACATCGATAGTATGTTAGATCTGGACCAATTAAATGGGTTGTGGGATTTACATGAGGTCTACGTGTGTACAGTGTGCTTATATGTTCATGTACAGTATCCTGCAGTTACTGCCACCTTACAGTGTTGCCTTTCTTGTACCATTATTTGTATGTAACAGAATATGATTTTGCAGTCATTAAAATGTGTTACAAAAGCATCACTGGCATTTGTCTTTGCCTTGTCTCAATACTTGCAAGCAGAGCTCATGTTGTTATGGTGTTAAGGAAGGAATGCAGTCCATAAACAGGTACATCTACAGTACTTTTAATCTAGATATATAAACATCTCACCATGGCAGGTCAGACAATCACAGAACAACTCACAGTAAAATGACAAAATAAAAAAGCACGAGGGATGAGGCGGCTCACGCTGGAGAGAAACTGCAGAAATGAAATAACAGGAGCTGAACACATTCACAGCTTTATGCATTAATAGATGCACATTTAAATCTTGATGATGTAATCTATACTTTAAAATGTGAGTCTCAAATAAGCACAGAGTGAGGTTTGAGATATACATTTTAAATGCACACTTAACAGGTTTCATTTTTTCGAGCTGGTGTCTTATTCACACACAGTGACGCGACACCAGATGCATCGCTGGATTTCTTTCTCGTTGCAGATAAACCAGCATCCAACAAGCCAAAAACTGAGCTCTCAGTCTCCAGGGAGGTCACTGTTTGTAGATTACACGCAGTAAAATAACACATCTCACAAAGAGCAGTTTTAAATCTCCACAACACCAACATTCAGAGTCTTTCCCATCACTTGATCCATTTTAAAACTTTACTCGCCACCCTTTCATGGTGTCGCAGGCCTCTATTCTTCAGTTGTTACTGGTCAAACTGAGCTGACTAACCCGCGCTGCTGTATGTATGAGTGTAAATGAGCCAAGGCTGTTCACTGCTCTATAGAGTCCAAATTCTCTTTGATTCTTCGGGTCATGCTGGGGATCAGGTTAACGTGGTCGTCCACACAACTGCCCACACAGCGCTCCATCATTGACCGAACAGCCGGCTCCTTCGCACCGGAGTCGAAGAGATCCTTTGCCTTGTCGTTGCAGTGCATCGTGCATCTGGTGAGGCGGTCCTGAAGGGGGCAAAGAGGAGAGAAAACAAGGTTCAGATACATAAAAGTTCCAGTAGGCAGGACGAGCAGGTAAAAAGGTAATTAAGAATTGAGGAATATGATGGAAATAAAACAAATACAGCCCTAAAAAAAGCCCATTTAAATAAAAATGGTTGTGAATGAAGACTGGAAAAATTGACTACTTATATGTGCCTATAATGTATGTAACCCAATACATAGGTCATTGAAAGCTCCCGTCAATACATTTTTTGCTTGCAATTATCAGCTGATAATATATATTGTGCATCCCTGTTTTTTTGTAGCAGAAAATCCCAATTAAAAAAAAAGTAAAAGTGACATTGTTACTACTAGAAGATTATATCAACTTGGTTTAAAGGATTCTGTTGCCTGCTGGGAAGTGTAGAGAGGATGAAAGTACAGTACTACGGTACACACACTAAAAGTTAGAAGAAAAGGGAACACTTGAGTGCAAGTAAGAATGAAAAAATGGCCCCCAGAAAGGTTATTTTAAAATATAAAAGCACAAAACAGAGCCAGATTACTCTTCTGACTGTTTACTATGGATGGCCGACAACATTTGAACTTTATACATGATATCGACTGTGTGTTATGTTGCTGTTACTTTGTATCTATTACTATACTACTATGTCACACTGTACAATAACAGCTAAAACTCTGGTCATAATAATACAGTCTCCAAGCACCTTATGTTTTATCTGTTCACTGCACCTTATATTTTTA